TGTATATGTATATACAGGGTGGGGCAAAAGTATCGGACCGGTGAAATATCTCGAAAAATATAAGTTTTACAAAAAACTGTTTCAGATCAGGAGACAAATTAAAAGCATTTCGTCTATAAATAGCTATTTCTAGTTTACCAGCATTTTCTTCTCCATCAATACGAGCCATTGTTTTTAAAGAAAATCTTCCATTACAGATGTAACAAAAAAGATTTTGGTTTACCATTTTATACTAACAGAAATGTGAACTTTATTTTGATTGTGAGTAGCTGTGAAAACAACTGATTTTGAGTAGCTATGAAAACAACTGATTGTGAGTAGCCGTGAAAACAACTGATTGTGAGTAGCTGTGAAAACAACTGATTTTGAGTAGCTGTGAAAACAACTGATTGTGAGTAGCCGTGAAAACAACTGATTGTGAGTAGCTGTGAAAACAACTGATTTTAAATAGCTGTGAAAACAACTGATTGTGAGTAGCTGTAAAAACAACTGATTTTGAGTAGCTATAAAAACAACTGATTGTGAGTAGCCGTGAAAACAACTGATTGTAAGTAGCCGTGAAAACAACTGCTTTTTGACCTTGGCAACGCCACCCAAGATCAATCTGCTAAAATCAGTAAATACAATAGATCTTTTTAAGATCTGAAACAGTTTTTTGTAAAACTTATATTTTTCGAGATATTTCACCGGTACGATACTTTTGCCCCACCCTGTATATGCATATACATATATATTGCGAAACTAAATATTTATTACATATATATATATATATATATATATATATATATGTAAAAATCGATTTTTATTTATTTCGTGAATAAATATCAATGTATCACTTATACTTATAACTTAAACTTATACTTATAACATACGTCTTACTACTGCGGATGACCATATTTCACTACTTTGACCCTTTATATCTTGGGAAATATAACATAGTGAAATTTCAGCCAATTTGACCGAAAACCATTTTCCATAGGTTTTGTGCGGGGTCCTTTACTGCAAGTCCAATGCACGAGCAAACCATGTATTACTTAAGGCACTCATATTAAATTGCATGTTTTTTTCACTCGCTTTTTACTACGAACATGTTTATAGTATGTATTATTACAATAAATAAGAAGCGACTGCTGTTCTGTATTCAAATGCACAATTATGTTATATTTAGGATACTTTATTCGATCGCGAATAACTCTCTTCTGTGCCAAATATATAATTAATTCTTTATAATTGTGCGTTAAATGAAGAAATTTATGAAACAGCATTCTATACGAAGTTTGAACTACTGTATGGCTTCGATAGCTGTAGATAACTGAAAGATACGTGAAGAGTGTTTGGAGTTACAGTATTGTGTATTGTAAACAAAGTTCTCTTCGGTCAAACATCTCGAAGAGATAAACGTAGAAAAAAATTTAAGTATCGAATATAATAACCGAAAAATTTCTAATTTCGATAAAACTCCTGTTCAAAGAACCTCTCTCAGATAACCTTGTTTGTTATACAGAGTGTTCGCAAAAGGTGGTACCAAATTTTAGGGGTATGTAGTACTCGTTAAAACAAACCAAAAACTCTTAATGAATAGTACTCCGAAAACCTTTTATTTCTGAGTTATGAAGCATTTTGTTCTGTGAAAAATAGAAAATAAATTAAATCTACAATAAATGTTCAATATGCTTTCGGCTCATGTCAATACACATTTCGGCATGTTTCGTCTTTGAAGGTCAAAGAGTCCAGGTTTATTTTGTATTTGTTGACAACAGTTTCCAAGTCTCTTAGTCAGTTCATTCACGGACGCCCCTATATGACCACCTAATTACGCAGGGATTGTTATATTCAACTTTGGATTGTGGACCGTGTCTAGTTTTGTATTATCCGAAAAATGGCCAATTTTTACACAAATTCTGAAATGACGGATATTCATTTTATGTATGGCAGAGAACCCCTGACGGGTTCACGGTGTGTACGTGTGTTCCTATTCACGCGTACATGCATACATATAACACGCACAAACACACTATACACACGTACAATGTATTAGAATTACATTCTATTTATAAAACCAGAAATATAATACGACCACACACAGAAATTGTGAGCTCGCCCGGGCGGGTGAGCGAGCGAGCGGCTGAGCAGTGTCAGTGCTGTGTCTGCGTGTGTGTGTGTGTGTGTGTGTGTGTGTGTGTGTGCGCGCGCGTGCGTGCGTGCGTATACAACTACATTTTCTGAAAAAATGTTTCAGACAAAAGCTTTTCAGTTTTTGGCGTAAATTCCGAATCCGTCATGAAAATATGCATGTTCCATTTAAAAAAATAAAGTTAACCCTGAAATGGCCTTCAAGGTCAAACTTAAGGTCAATTTTAATGTCACCATCAGATTCCGCTTTTTAAATTCTAAGACTTTTGTTTTGAAAGTTTTACCGAAAAACCTCACTATA